AATAATAATTAAAAGTTAGTTTATTATTATTTTATTATTTAAATGTTAGGTGTTATTATTATTACTATTAGTAGCAGACAAGACTTTTTCTAATTTTCAAGTGTAAGATCCTTACATGACTGGTATTTTCTTAAATGTCTCCCTATCCAAATGGCTTTTTGACAAGTCGATGTCTAGTTAAGACTATAAATAATGACCATCGTTATCTCATAGTTGGAATTTCAGGGTGCCTCTGACTCATTTTGTTGCACTTAGAGTCACTGTGAGTCAGAGCTGACTCAACAGTACCTAATGGCAGCAACATGACTTGTAACAAATATGCACTACTGAGAGAACAAGGTCCATATTTTGTGTTAGTTTTATCCTTCATAAGACATTATTCAGTACCTGACACATTGCAAAGGATCTCAGTTCCACCAATTCCAGTTCATAGAGACCCCACCGGACAGAGAAGAACTGCTGCCAAGACTTTAAGTCTTTCTGGAAGCAGACCTCCTTACCTATCTCTCACTGAGCCACTGGGGCGTTCGAACCACTATCCTTAGAGTTAGCAGGCCAGTGCGTAGCCATTGTGCCACCAGGGCACCAATACCTGGTATCACTAAGCAGGAAAAAAAATGATGCATGCACAACTAAAACCAAAAGTTAACAGATTAAACTTAAGCAGAAAGTTGTGATTTAGACAGTTAACCTTATGAATTCCTATTTAAAATCCCATCACTCCTGAGACTTGAGTCTCTTTATTCCAAATGTTTGTAGTAATACTGAAATAGCTGTACACTGATAAATGTGGAATTCTTTTGCTTGTGTGTTATACTTACTCATCTCCATTCCAGAAAGGACTTGAAGCAGCTCACCATGATATGAAATGTAAGAAGCACCTAACGAAAAATAAGAAGGAACGAAACAGAACACTAGGATAGGGATGCAAAGCAGTGAGCAGGGGGGCTGCCCAGCTGCCCTGCTCTCAGTTCCAACCCATGGCCAGAGTAGAACTGTGCTTCTTTGGTGCACATGCAATGATGCCGAACGCAGGAAGATCACAGGCCAGTGGGTGAAAAGTCTTGTGGATCCTGTGGTGGTGGAAGCATCTCCAGAGCTCTGGTTGCCATCAGCGTGGCTCCATGTGGGCTTCTCAACAGAAAGGAGAAGCAGAGAGAGGGAGAAGCCCACCTCTTCTGATGGTAGAATCAAGGGAGAGAGAGAGAGAAGTTCCCAGAATCCTCATGAGAAGGCCTCGCCCACAAGGAGGGCTCAATCAGGCTGTGACCTGATTGACAGGCTAGACTCTAACCCCTTCAATCTTTTATCAAGTTGACATGAAATTGTGTAACTACCACAGCTGGGTATATATCCTAAAGAAGTAAGAATCATAACATGGCCAGACATATGCACACCCATGTTTATTGCAGCACTGCTCACAATAGGAAACAGCCTAAATGCCCATCAGTAGAAGACCGGATAAAGAAACTGATACATACACACAATAGAATACTATGCATCCCTACAAAACAAAGCACCTCCTGGCATGAAAGGACCTGGACACCATTATGCTGAGTGAAATTAGTCAATCACAAAAGAACAAATGTTACATGCACCCATTGTTTCCAGCTGGGGAAGAAACCAAGATAGAGACTTGCATACCAAAGGGAACAGACTTTGAAGACTGCCAAGGGATGCGGATGGTAAAGCTGGAGAAAGAAAGCAATGGGCTGGACTGTTGACCCGTGATAACTAGGATGAAATGGAAGAAAGTAATCCATAAGCGTTAGAAGCTAGAGCAAGGAGCGGGGTGACGGGTAACATGTTAGAGGGTTTGATTTGTAATTTAAACTGTTGAATACGAAGTTGGAAGCCTGAAATGTAAACTCCCACCAAATTTACAATTAAAAATTGCTATTTAAAGAAAACCTTCACCCTAAATGTTCTATAGCCAACACAAAGTGTAAATTGATGACTTACATAATTCATAAGGCACCTGGATGAATAAAGACCAATTGTTCTTCCTCTGTGGAGTGATGGGAGGGTGGGATAGAATGTATAGCAAGTTTTCTATTTGAGGAACGCATTACTTAGAATAAAAGCAAATCCTATTTCTGCTGGGTATCGCACTTACTACTCTCCTTTTCAGATCAGTGGTTTCTGTGTTTGTTTGTTTGTCTAATTTTAGAGAAACAGCACATGGCATTTTATAGTAGCTAAACATAAATACAATAAATCAAAATAAAGAAAAAAGTGTTCTACTATGTATGTACACAATTGGGGTCTATTTTGGACAGGAACTCCAACTCATAAGAGAACATGTGAGAAATAGCCCCCATCATCAGGGAGTTGAAGACATTTTTCTAAGATGCTTGAGTTCCCGCTGAACATCATTGAGCTTTGTTTGATAATAGTAAGGAAGTTTCTTTCCCTGGCACACATGCCGTGTGCCATCAAGTCCATCCCAATGCAAGTGACCCTAGAGGACAGAGCAGAACTGCCCCGTGTGGTGTCTTATGCTGTAATATTGATGGGAGCACATCACCAACCCTTTCTCCCACGCAGCAGTTGCTAACCTTTTGCTTAGCAGATGAACACTGAACCATTGAGCCACCTGCATCTATAGCATCTGCTTCTCAGTCAGAAGAACTTGGATTTGAATCCTGCCTCTGCCACTTCTATTGTGTTACCTTCGATTTATGGACCTTAGTTGCCTCATTTCAAAAATGCTGTCTCATAAAATTATTGTAAAGCTAGCCTTATATAAATTCTCTGGCACTCCAGTCAGGGTGCGATGTAGCAACAATGAAAAATACAACTTTCCTCTAGTTCCTAAATGTTACCTCCCCGCTCCTACTATCATGAGCCGAATTCTACCTTTCAAGTCTGGCTAGACCAGAGGA